TTACAAATAATGTTTAATATTATACATAATTATTTATTATGGATTCTCATCTCAATTTCTCACTTATTATTTGTCCCACTTACAGTTTGTGAGTATGAGTTCCTTTCCTTTTATAATATTTTTTATAATAATAAATTATCAATCTTATTTAATTAATCACTAAAATAAAAATTCAAGTCAAATATTTTATTTAGTTATTATTTTTATTGGAACATCAAACACAATATTATGTTTTCAGTTATATTGGGTATATTTCAAGGTAAAATAGAAAAAAAATAATAACTAATATGATATATATATGTAACATATGTTTTCATAAAAATATTTAATAGTAGCACCATACCACATTTGAAACATATACTCTAAATTGATGGAATTTACATACACATTAAGAAAATATGTAATCATCTCTTATTAACCTAATATTGTATAATTTTATATCTTTATATAATTCTAAGAAATTACAAGTGATCATTAATTTATTTGTATTGAGTACATCATTCCAAAACAAGTAATTTAAATTGTAAAATATCTAATCATCCACAAACTCTTATATGAGCTGAAGTAAGAGTTAGTCAAGACAACGTGTCATTCTTTTTTAACAAAAATGTGAACTTAGACCTCCAACACACTTTGTATATTTTATTTTATTATATATTTTTAAGTAATAAATAAAATAAAAATAGAGTGAAATAAAAAATAATGATGTTATATTTATCATATATAACATAACTTATTCGACTACAAGAGAAAAATATATCATATCCATATGAAATAGATCTAAAAAATGTTGAATAACCTTAACTTGAGTTAAAAAAAAATAGAAAATGGTAACATAAAGAGTGAGGGGTCTCAGACTCTCAACAACAACAAGAGAGTTAAAATAAGTATATATATAGTTTTGACTCATAAGACAAAAATGATCATATTGATTGAATATATCTGATAACCATTTGTTTTATTATTTCATTTGATCTTAAATTTGAGGTTACATAAAAGTTGTTGTAAAGTGACAACATTTAATTTTTATAATAAATACACAATTATACAGCTTAATTTTTATAATAAATACACAATTATAAAGCTAAAAATTTATAATAAAAGCAGCATAATGTGTCAATTATTGTTTAACTTTTGTTTATAAACAAATCTTCTTCTTTTTTTTTTAAATGAGAGATTGATGAGAGTATATTATCGCAACTGAATGTTGTAGTGATAAAGTTAAATACAACTTATTATAATGAATCCACTATTTTTTCCTTATCATATATCAAAATGTTAATTTCGCAATAATATTTTTTTAATATATTTTATATAGTATAATTTAGATTTACTTTTCGTATTACTTTACAAAAAAAGTTTGTCAATTTTTATTTCTAATAATTACACTAAATTATCGTTTTCACCGATTTGCTGGAAAAATACGTACTTTAATATATTATAGTTCTCATTAATTTCATCCGATAATAAAAATAATAATAATAATAAGTATTTTAATAAATATACAATTTTACAGCAAAAATTTTATAAATAGAAATAGCATAATGGGCATTTATCTTAATTTTTGTCCATATCAAAAATGTTTTTTTTTTCCATAAATGAATGATGAGATCATAATATTACAACTGAACGTTGTAGT